CCTACTTTGTAAGAGAAACCAGATGAGCTCAGCCACTTTTCCAGAGTTAGAAGTACCAGAAAGTTCCTTTTCCATAAGAGCCGCAGGTTGAATGCCATTAGAGTTCACTTTTAGGACATCATAAAAAACTTTCAAAAATTTTCAGTGGATTTTAGAATAAGTCACTTGGGGCTGGCTCAGTGGCTCAGCAGTAATGCTCAAGGGACTCTGGATTTCATGTGGTCCTTGCAGTAGTTCAAATACCAGCTGGGTCAGCCTGAAACACGCTGGGCACACGAGCAAGTGTCCGGAATCCAGGGTGCCGGAGGACCGGAGGAAGGGGACTGCGGCATGACCGGACCTTTGGAGGTGCTCCTCATTCTCATTCTCTCACTCTCAGTCTCACATACATGTGCACATGCTTTTTCATGAATAAAGAAAAAATAAGTCACTTGGTCAAGGAAAGTCACTGTTTTCCTTCCTATTGCTTCTTTTAAAATTATTATTATTATTTTATTATGTGCCCAGCATGAGTTTAAGCTGCACACACATGCCCTATGTGTTCCTCAAGCCACTGGGTCCAGAACTCGAACCACACAGTAGGCCATGTGGGATCCAACTGCCTTAACCACCATGCCACCAGCTGGCCCCTCCTCTTCTTTTTCTTTTCTTAAAGATTTATTGGGCCGGGGGAACCAGCAGTTAGCATAATGGCTATGTCGCTGGACTCCCACATAGTTGACCACGGTTCGCGTCTCGGACCCGGTGGCTTAAACTCACGCTGGGTGCGTGTGCGTGCGTGCCCAAGATCCCGAGAGGAGAATGGAGAAGGGATTGCGGTGTGGCCATCCCCCTTGGGGGGTGATTTCTCACTTTCTGTCTCTATGTCTCTCTGTCCGTTTGGTGAGTGCATGCGCCCTATAGCGAAAAAAACCTCTCCAAAAAAATAAAAACAAATTTAAAAAAAAAAAAGATTTATTGGGTTGGCAGGTGGCATGATGGTTGAGGTGCTGGACTCCCACATGGCTAACCATTATTCTAGTCCTGGACCTGGCAGCTTGCTTTCTTGCTTTCTCTCTCTGGTGAGTGTGTATGACCCATAGCAAATTAAAGTAATAATAATGTTAAAGTTAAATTGGATAATTCTAAAGAAAAAAAGAATAAGTTATCTAATTTTACTTATTTTTTAATTTGACCAGAGAGAAACAGAGTGAGAGACAGCAAAAGAGATAGAGAAAGAGTGAAAGTGAGAAAGCAGTTCCGCCAGGTCCAGGACTCGAACCATGGGAGTCTAGCTCCTCAAGCACCACTTCACCTGCTGGCTTTCTCTTCTTTTTTTTTTTTTTTTAAAGAGATTTTTTGCTATAGGGTGCTTGTGCTTGCCAGAAAACAAGAAAAATCCCTCCCCCCAGGGGTCGGGCGGGGAGGGAGGATGGCCATGCTGCAATCTCTTCTCCATTTTCCTCTAGGGATTTTGGATACATAAGCACATGTGCCCAGCATGAGTTTAAGCTGCTGGGTCTGGGACTCAAACCCTGATCAACTTTGTGGGAGTCCAGCGACACAACCATCTGCTGGTCTCTCCCTCCTCTTCTTTACAAGCTCTCTTCTGGGAGAGTGGCTGCGTGCTCAGGAGGAAGCGATGTGCTTGGCAAACTTGCCGAGGCAAGGATGGGCACTCCAAGGTCAGACTCGAGCTAGAAAAGCGCTGAGTGAAGCCAGGGGAGTGTGCAGTTCACTGATGGCTTCAGTTCTGTGACAGAGCCCGACACACAGCAGGCATGCAAGCCCTGTCTGATAAGTGAATGACTAAGTGTAAACTAACCAAATACGTAAAAGCAGTCATTTCCTAACCCAAATGCGTTTCTCTTCTTAAGCATGAACTGGGCGACTCCTAAGGCCTTCCCCGTTCCCAGGACGCTGGTCCCTTCCTGAACACCTGCTTTACTGGCTGGATGCTGTGTCCTGGCGGTGCCGCTTTTCCAGCAAATGCCCACTCCTCCTCCTGGGCCAGTGTGAATGCAGCACCTCTGAGATTTCTCACCGCTCTTTCCTGTACAACTGTATTTCACAGCTACGTTACAACTGTTTGTAACTTTCCCTTCAAAAGCTGGGAAGTCTTCACTGTCCTGCAGCCCCGGCATGGTTCTACATCGTAAGCGGCATCTGTCTGTATTGAAGAGTGACTTGGGTGAGAGCAAGTGAATGAACAGGCGAAATGGGCACGCGAGGAGTCGTTTGGGACAGGGCAGTACTATGACTGATCCTGCTCAGCAAATGTCTTGGCTGAAGCCACACGTTAAGTCCTTATTACAGAATGTGAGGGCAGAACACTTTGGGCCAGTGAATTTTCCATGAAACTAAAAGAAATAAAGAGTCAGTCGGTAGTATGGAGGTTAAGTCGTATGGATCCCTCATGGCCGACTGTTTGGGTTCAAGTCCTGGACCAACCCCCACACAACACAAACACACTTGAAAGTTATTCCAAGTGTGTGTGATCATGTGCCCCAAATCTTGAAAGAATAGAGGAAAAAGGATTACAGCATGATCATCCTCCCTGGAATGATTTCTCACGTTCTCTCTTCCTCTCTGTTTCAGTCTGGTGAGTGCACATACTCTATAGCAAAAAAAGATAAAAGAATTTTGATTAACTCAGTTCCAAAAGGCAAAATCTTTCGGTAAGTAAAAATCACTAAAGAATTTGAACTGGGATATGAAACATCAGGAAGACCAAAATTTCTTTCATAATGAAATAATTTATTATTTGTTAACGGTTGAACGATACAGAAGTTTACATATACACAGCAAAGATTCTCTAAAACATGTAGTAGATTCTAAAAATGCATGTGCTAACCATAGTAAAAAGCACCATTCTCTATGGTCTTGACACAGGGTTTACATTGGCGTTGTATTTACACAAAGAAATAAACATCTGGAAACAGAATTTCATACTCTTTCATCTGCTGCTCCCCTGTTTAGACTGTGTATACCATTAGGAAGATGCCCTCCCACCACCCCCCCCAAAAAAAAAACACAAAAACAAACAAAAACAAAAACAATAAAACCTGAGGGTTAATAGCAATATTCCAAGAGCACCAATTCCAGGAATAAGGGGTGAAGGCAAGTTTGGCTCTCAGGTAAAAGTTAAAATATAGAATGCCTCCCCTTTCCCCACCACCCTCCCAAGATTGAATAAGAAATCAAAATTTAAAATCTGGATAAATCTTAGAATTGGGTGCCTTACTAATTCCCCTTTTTATGATTTTGAGAGAAGACAAAGATACTCAATTTCCTCAGCCAATCAATAGCTGAATTTAGCAGTGCCAGTCAATTATTTCTTCTTTCAGAAGAATATAAGAAAATCATCCATATAATAAAGATTGATAATGAAAAAAACCATGATAAACCAGATATTGTACCCTCCCACCCTAGTATCTTTGAAAACAAAATATCCTACAATTTACAGAGATCTGATCATATAGAATGACAAAAATCACCTCACTGAAAGGCTCTTTGGGGTGTCTTCTCTCAGGAAGGATTTCTGGATCAGGAGTAGCCAGCTACCTAACCATGCTGCATCAAAGAATCAGACAGAGGAAAAAGAATAGATCGACATGCAGGACACCGCCTTTCAGCCTTTTACTACCTGGTGTTTAACACAAAGGGAAGGTGAAGAGGGGAAGACAAAGGAACTTGGGGGGACAAGAAGACACAAGGAGACCAAGTTTGGGGGGAATAAATAGATTATAAAGTACAATGAAAGTGGCATTCTTGCCAATACGGCATGGTAGAAAAACCTAAACAATAATGCACATGTGTGTACGCATGCACACACACTTTTCAAAATTAAGTTATTTCTTTAACGTGGAGGGAAGAGGCAAGAAAAAAGTCCACAACATCCATTATCAAGCCCCAAGATATTGCTAGATGGTTATTTTGAGCATCACCATCCTACCTAGTTTTTCCTTTTCCTCGCACCCCAGGATTTGCTCTTGGCTACTTCAAGGACAGGGGAGAAAGGCCCAATTCAACCCAGGTGAGGACCCTTTGTTCCTTCCAGAAAAAGAAGAGGTTAAAGGAAAACGTCCACCTTAAAAGCAAAAATAACAAAACCCACCCCAGAGCCAATTGTAGGTTCCGGTCCTCCTTAAAGCCTAGATCGGAATTGACACTGAAGTTACTTGAACCTCGGGTTCAGGGTTCACGGGGAGAATGTAGGTCCTGCTCAAAACCGTGATGCTCTCTGAATCGCTAAACCAGCATTAGGTCTGTCTAGACTAGAGGGAACCTGCAGTGGCTATCAGCACCTTGAAGAATTCAAGATCTCTGCTTAGCAAGACAACCGAAATGAAAATACCTGGGGTGCTCTGCTTGCCACTCAAAGCCAACAAGGGGTGGAAAACTGTGTTTTCAGGGATGTGAACAGAAGCACACATACAGATTTTCTCACTGCAGGAAATTAAACTGGACTCCGAACTCTTATTTTTCCATTTGTATCATGATGGTATCAATAAGAGTATGGTTTCAATTTCGTTTTTGTTTTTTTAAATCAACTTTCACACAAAAATATGCATGTGCCTATATTTATACACATCTCTATTTACGTACAATTGTCAACGTCTTAAAGGCTGGGGTTTTATATCTTTGCCCATCCCCTCCCCCCAACAACCCTAATAGAAAGGTTTTTCCTTTTGCTTAAAAAAACCAAAACAACCAAAAGACTCTATAGCTCTTAGCAGTCATGCTGGTGGATCAGTGAATGAGAGAGGACAGATTGGCGAATCAGGGCTGCTGATCAGCCGCGTGAGGGAGGGGATTAGCTGCCTTGGGCTGAGTTTGCTGGTCCTGAAGCTTATGGTTTTGGTTAGAGAGAAGCCTGCTGAGCATGACTCGGTCTACCTGGAGCTTCGAAGTCACGTCTAACCCTGGTGTCAGTTTATCACAAGTGCATCAAAAATAGAGAGATCTATCAAGTTCCACATTTATATGCAATCAAATTGAAAAGGACCAGACAAACAGTGCAAAGGTCAAATAATTACTGTTTTATATTGGGACAGTACATTTCAGATTTCAACCAAAAGACAAAAATGCAGTTTAACTCAAAGGCACAACAATTAAAACACAGAAAAAAAATAAAGGCATCTCTCAGATGCCTTATTCCTAAATTAAACAAACGAGTACACAAATTTTGTTCCCTTCCCTCCCCCAAGGCAAGCCCACAAGCTTTTTGCAAAGTCTTGAGTTTTCGATGCTGTTCAGCATCCAGCATCGTGGACTTGTGAGGCGCTTGGATGTAGCAATTAAACAAAATGCGTGAGAGGTCTAGCGAATGGCATTCGAAAGGGACCTCAAAGTGCAGGTACATCTTTTTCAAACATTTTACAGGCTGAGCTGGCTCTTTGAACACTATCACTCTGCTTAAATTCAGGAAGCAGGCTTTAAAAATGCAAAAGGCATACAAGTTGTATTTCAGTGCAAATCTTTAGCTGGTTATTGGAAAAGATTCCAACAATACAAAAAAAAAAAAAAACCAACAACAACTTTTGTGTCACCTGCCCCTCCCCCCCAAGCGGAAATGAAGGAAAAAATAAAACAGAACAAAAAGAAAACAGAAGAATTACAGATGACTTTGGAATCATTTGGAAATCCACTTCCGATTAAAAAATATTTTTTTAATAAAGACTTGCTTAAAAAAAAAACACCACACACACAAAAGTAATCTTGCTTTGCTTAGATCGCTCTTCCTGTACAGAACGAGCTTCTGTGTAGAGTGCATTTGACAGCTGTGTGGAAGGTGGCGGCGCTGGGTGAGTTGCGAGGCTGTGGTGTGCTAGTGACCGCAGGCCAGCGGGGGGCCTGGGCAGCCCGCTGCTGAGTCAGCCTTGAGCCCTTAGGTCGCCGTGCGTCTGTGGATTTTAGGAATGTTCTCATCTTTTTGTGACACACTCGGCTTCAGCGTCACAGATTTTACAAATGGTTCAAATTCAATGAAAAAGATTCTCCCGAGGCTGAAAACATCAAGACCTCAAAAATATGAATGCAAAAATATTGAGGGGAATGGACCAGTTTTGTAGATACCTACATACAAAGTTTCTAGAACATCTATAAAAGCACAAAGTCATAAGAATTTATTTTCCATTACATTAGTTTATATAAAATGAATAAATAGTATTTATAGATTTAATGTGTCTTATGTACATATACATGTGCTCTGTTTTAGCTTAAATAAAAATGCTACAAAGTGGGAGACCACTTCAGGGAGAAATCCTAACCAAAAAGAAAGATCAGCCTTTTAAACTATCGACCCAAAAGCCTCCATAAAGAAGTCTCTGGGTGTGTCCAAAAATAATCAACAAGGAGAGGGGTTCTAGTAACACTGTACTAACCCCTCTTGTCCACCTCCAATGCAGAGTAAAAATGTGGACTTGTCTTTCGCTGACGAGAGACACTAGCTCAGCTAGTGCCAAAGCTCAGTTATTGCTGAAAGTTAAATAGGAAAATAGATTAGAACTGGACCAAATGTCATTTATTTGGGAAAAATGAAAAAGAAAAGGAGAGGAGGCATAATCACTTCGTGTTAAGTGGGAAATGGAGATCTCATTTATCTCTGAGGTAGGAAAAAAAAATGTTCCAGAGACAAGTAGCATTACCAAACTTTGGGGGGAAATGTGCCTGGAGATAGCAGTACACAGCAAGGCCCCAAGAACGTCACGCAAAAATAGATTGTACCATTTTGTTTGTGAGAACAAACAAGGCTGGGGCTTTGATAAGCTATGTAACCCCCAAAGACACACCGTCAAGGTGTCCCGCTTTAAAGTGAGAAATACTGCTCCCATCCACATGCGGTGAGCTGGGGGTGAGCAGGGGCTGTGTGGGAAGGGCATTTTCTGGAGGTATTCCTGGCTTCCTCACTGGAGGTGAGGTCCATGGTTAAGTGCTCTTCAATGCCGCTTTCAAAGCTTACTTTGGAGTTCTGAGATCGGGATCTCGACTTTTTAAAAGGTTGTTTCCTTCAGTTTCCTAAGCACAAGACACACTCTGACATTTCTCCTAGGCAAGTAACATAGTAAGCCAGAAAACTGTAAGAAAGGTCTGGTAGACTACACGAGGACAGTAAAGGGGGCAGCGGAATTGCAGAGATGGGGACATTGCTTATTCGGTCTAAGCATTCTTGGGTGCTTCAATTGATTGGAATGTACAGTCTCTCAGAGACGAATTTTTATGGAGAGAAAGAGAGAAGCTAGTGGATGCAATCAGAAGCCCACAATCCTAAGCACTTCCTCGAAAACGTTTACAAAGCTGCTTTTGGTAAAGTGGTATGCTGACGTTTACGTGCAAGGGCTTTGTGGGCAGGTCCAATACACTACCTAATCCGATCCGACAGGGAGAACCAGTGAGGGGGCAGTCATGGTGACCACGCTTTCTTATAGACCCAGACAGGTCTGGCGACTGTCCTGGAGCTTTATTCTCTTGAGGCTGGAGCTGGAGTAGCCCTCGTCGCTGCCGAGGCTCTGCATACTACCCCGCTCATCGGAATCACTCACACTGCTGCTGCTCCAGTCCAGGTCACCCGTGAGATAGTCTGTGCTTTCCACGTCGACATCGATTTCTTCTGCGGTGGGGGGCGAGAAACAGTCATTAGTGAGAGTATTCTGTAGAAAACTGGAGCTGGAAATCACACAGACCCCACTCAAACCTTCTTTAGACCTTACTACCTAACTCCCAATAGGAAAGAACGACTTGGTACTGGAAGTCACCCTACTCAACACGTCAAAATCATGAGAACTCACTCTCTCTTTTTTGGGAGACAGGGTTTTGTTGTCACAATCATCCTGCCTTAGCTTCCCAGCTGAGACTACAGATGCCCATCACTACACTTGGCTCTGCTTTCACAGTCTTGCTATGGTGCCAGGCCAACCTCGAGCTCAAGAACCCCTGCCTCAGCCTCCCGAGCTGCTGGGATTACAGGTGCATGTTCCCATGCCCAGCCTTTAGGTTGGGCTGGACACTGAACGCAGGCCTCCCGTGCAGCCCCAGCCTGCAGAGCACAGCAACTTAGCAGCGCACCACCTTGGCAGGGCCATTCTGTGACTTTGTAATTCCTTTATGTTCTGCCTTCTGTGAGCAGCCCTGTACTCCCTGCTCTAGTAGGTAGGAGGGGAAATGGAGAGAGAGCAGTGGTGGGGGAGGACTGGGGAGTGACTCAGTGAGAGGCTCACCCCTGTCGGAGTCGGAGCGCTCTGAGGAAACAGTGGAGCCGATGCTGTCCATGCGGATCCTCTCCAGGCCTAGCTTCTCCAGCTGCCTCTTCAGGTGTCGCTGTTCTCGCTGAAGCTGGTCTATTTGGTGGACGGCTTTTCTGTCACAATCTTCAAGTTTCTGCAAGTGAAAGCAGTGGTTGTTGGAGCCCATGGGGAGAGTTCTGAATTGGCAACGATCCTGCATCTTCCCTGTTAGCATTAAGTTATACCAGTTGTCCTCAGATGCCATTTGGTGTGTCACCTGTTAAGCTTCTCTCTAAGACAAGAAGCTGCCTGGCCAGTGACCCTGGCTTTAACTTTCAAGGCACTGCGGATACTATGGGTCCTTGTCACAGGGACTCTGGGGGTGAGCTCTGCTCCTCTGGCTCCCTCCGTTTTGATATGGAAAAGGCAGCAGGCAGGAACTCCAGCCTGGTCTTCCCAGCCTGCAATGATCTCAGCCTCATCTCTCCCAACTAGAAAACTGCTCGTGATGAGAGCTTGAGAAACACGCTTCCATTTAAAGTTATGTTATTCAAGTACGTGTCCCAATTACATAAGCACTTTTTTGTGCCATGCCAAATCTCAATTAACTTCAGGGTTCTTTTTTTTTTTTTTTTTGAAGGAAATAACAGTCCTTTTGAAGTCCTGATTCTAAATTGTCCAACAGAAGAAAACACATTTCCATAGACTTCTTGTTTTTATAATATCTGCCCCCTTGTTTCTTGCATCTTCAGATAATTAAGAAGATTATTTAATAATAGCTGTTTTGTTTTAAATAGAGGCTCTTTTTCTCCCCAAATTGTCATGTATGCAGGCAACTAACCATAACTAAAGTGACATCTGACCAACCATGCTAGGACTATAAAAAAATGTGCTAACCAGTGAGTCCAGCCATGGTTCTTACAACTCACCCTGCCCTGTGCCAGTCAAGCTATGTACTGAGGGCCGGCTCTGTGCTCGACACTCTGTAAGGTGCTAAGGATCCAAGGGGGACCCAAAGTCTCAGTCCCCTCCCTCACAGAGTCTACAGTCCAATGGTGGAGACAACCTGCTGGCTGCGCAAACCATTGTCACATGTCAACTGTGACAAGGTGCTAAGGGAGAGAGACCCCATATCAGGACCAGCTGTCAGGAAGTGGGTAGCCTAATCAGGAAGGTCCATGAAAGCTTCTCTGAGCTAGTGAAACTCTTGCTGAGAGCTGAAGAATGAGTAGAAGCTAACGAGGTGATGAAGAAAGGTGGGGAAGGTACCAAGCAGAGGGAACAGCATGTACAAAGACCCTGTGGCAAAATCACATGACAAGTACAAGACTCTGAAAAGAGGGCTGCAGACAGGGCAGTACATGATATAAAAGAACACTGCAGAAGCAGGTGAGGGCCAGGTCAGGCAGAGCCTGGCCATGCCTCCTGACAAGAGTTTGTCCTGAGTCACAGAAGAAATTTAAACACTATAACATGCGGATGTGAGTTTGGAAGGACTATTCTTAGAAGCTAGGTGAGCAGATTGCAGGGGGCCCACAGAGATACTGATTTGAAGAGCTTGTTGCAACAGACCTCATAGTGGGGCGCAGATGGAAGTAGACCAGATTGGGAAATATTTGGGTCTTGCAGATGGCTTAGCTATGCATGGTCAAGGAGTAGGAGCTACTAAAGACTCCCGAGTTTCTGAGTTCTACAACTGGATGACAGTGGGTGGGTCATTTAACTGCAGGAGCACAGGAGGAAGTACTCGGCTGTGTTTTGGACTTATTGTGTCTGAAGTGTCTGTGATTCATCCAGGAAATAGGTTGGAGGAGTTCAGGGGAGGGGACAACCCTGGAGATATACATCTTTAATCCCTCAAAGAACTGAAAAACCCCTAATAGACAGGTAAAGATATCGAGGCATCCCAGGATACACTTACCTTTATGTGCAATTTGGCTTTTGTTAATAAACTCAATGTAGTGTGTCGATTTGATTCAGGCCCAAGGGGCACCAGTCCCTTCAACTTCTCCAGACACAAGCGAAGATGAGCCCGTCTGAAAAAAAGAAGATGACAGTGGCATTTGAGAATTCCACAGTGTGCTGGAAGGCACCCCAAAAAGAACAAGTTCTAGAAGAATATGAAATTGCCCAGGCCTGGTGATGGTGAATGCTACCAGCAACCTCTGTCCACACAAACATCTTTTGAAACCAGAAAGCTCTGGTGAAAACCAATGAGAAGCAAAATCCGAGGGTTTCCAAGTTAATCTACTTTTAATACAAATGTTAGGAAGAGAATAATATCTGCTATTAGGCACATTTATCAGGTCACCTAACAGTTTCTGGGTTACAATGAGAACCACAGAACATTCAAATCAGAAAACAATGACAGGTTAGGGTGAGAAGCCTTTTACCCTGTACTTGTAAGATACCCCATTCAAAACCACTAAGTCATTATAATCATATCTTTGTTCTCTACAGTATTTACAAATGTAACATAAGTGTATAGCTATTTGCTGAAGCTTTATTTGTAATGGCAAAGACTGAAACAACCAGAGTGACCATCAGTAGGGAAGTGGTAAATTATGGTATATCCACACAGTGGAGTACAATGTAGCTATAAAAAAAAAAGAATGAACATGTGTTCGTGTGTGCTAGTAAGCTCTCCCACACATCCTAGGTGGGAAAAACAAAACAAAAACAAAAAACAAGATGGCAAATCCTGAGTTTGTGTAGAAAATGGAGGGAAAATAAGAACTTATACTCATTTTTTTTATAAGCACAGGAATGAAATCTGGAATGATACATTAGAAACTAGTGGCTGGCTGGGCAGGGAGAAAGCAGGGAACAGTCACAGGTAAGGGAAAAAGGGAAGAGAATTTTTACTGAATAATGCCTTAGACTTTTTTTTTTTTTTTTTAATCATGTAAATCTAATGCCATTCAAACAGTTAAATGCAGTTTTTAAACATAAGAAAAAATACATGACTGGTATTGCTGAACTAAAGCACATGCTGAACAGCTGGGGATACCACTTCCTGGTCGTGGAGTGTGGCAGATGGATGCAATGGAACAGAGTGGGAGAGGGAGAAAGGCTGAGTGGGGAGGAAGCCATGGTGACCCACTTGAGAGAGAGTCTTTACTCATAGACAGAAACTGAGTAGTACCCACTATTTTGGAAATTTATACTTCATTGAAAGAAGTTTAGACTTTATTTTAGAAACTAGCAGATTCCATGAATGTAAGAAACAGCTGCAGTTTGGGGGTTTTGCTTCCCAACTGATTCCAGCCACAGCGATCCCTCCATTCGTGGAACACAGGGAAGCTGACTGGACTGCTCGTGTTGTTTGGTACTTGTTACTTAACCATTCTCTGCTGACTCCTAAGAAAGGTGGGGCTGAAGCTTAATCATGACTGTGTTGCGCTGTTCCTTAGACACACACGCTCAATAAATGTTTGCTGGATGGATTACACCATCTATTCCACTAGACTTTAAGCTTCCAGAGGACAGAGTCCATCTCTGCCATGTCTCTGCACCTTCAGCAGTGTTCAGTCTTAGGGTTTCAGATAAATGGTCATTGCTCACACAAAACTACCTGGAGCAGAGCTCCCTGGAGCCCAGGAGGCTGCCCTCCAGGTGACCTGGGAAGCAATGAATGCCTTGTAGACTTGCCCTTTCTTCCCTTCTTTTTTTTTTTTTTTCTTTTCTTCTTTCTTTCTTTCTTTTTCTTTTTCTTTTTCTTTTTTATTTTTGCCATAGGGCGAGCTTGCTGGAGAGAGCCAGAGAGAGGGAAAGTGAAAAATCACTCTTCAGGGTAGATGACCATGTCTCAGTCCCTTCTCCTCCATTCTTCACTCAGGATTTTGGGCATGCACACACATGTGCCTGGCATAATTTTCAAGCCATTGAGTCCAAGACTCAAATGGAGGCTAACCATGTGGGAATCCAGTGCCTTAACCACCAGATCACCTGTTGGCCCCCCATTTTCCATCTTAAGAATTTCATAGTATTGGTGAAAGTTGGAAATGCAGGTCACCGAGACCAGCAGTTAGCGTAATGCAGGTCAAGAGATGGAAACTGCTCCAGAAAGCTGTAAGACAGGTGAATGTAAATGAAATTGACCTAGGAAGTAAGTCCACAGTCTATACCAAGACCTTAGGATATTCCCCTAAAGCATATCTAGTAAGTGTCAGACATCCTTCTAAATCCAGTGCCTTGTCTTCGTCTAAGCCTCCTGCCCCATCTAGATCCAAAGAAGCTGCTCTGGATTCTTCTCCATAAGAAGTTGTTTTAAGTGTCAGCCAATGGCATGGTGGTTAAAGCCACTGGATTCCACATGGCTGACTATGAGGTTCAATCTGGACTCAGTAGCTTGAAACACATACCAGGTATGTGTATGTTCATGCCCAAAATCCTGAGAAGAGAATGGAGAAGAGAATGTGGCACAGCCATCACCGGCGGGGGGCGGGGGGGAGTTCTCTCTCTCTCTGCACTTCTCTCTGCATTTCTCTCTTTCTTTCTATCTTTCTCCAATGAGCTCATGCCTTGTATAGTAAATATGAAAAATAAAAAAGGGGCCTAGCAGATGGTGTAGCAGTTGTGTCACTGGACTCCCACATGGCCAAATGAAGTTCGAGTCCAGGATCTGCTGGCTTGAAACTCACAACGAACATGTGTGTTTGCCCAAGGTCATGGGAGGAGAATGGAGGAGAAGGGATTGCAGAATGGCCATCCCTTCCAGGGGGTGATTTCTCACTTTCCCTCTCACTGCTTCTGTCTTTTTCACATGCACCCTAAGACAAAACAAAACAAAAACAAACAAACAAACAAATAAAACTCTACCAATGAAAGAAGGAAGGAAGGAAGGAAGGAAGGAAGGAAGGGAGGAAGGGAGGGAGGAAGGAAGGAAGGAAGGAAGAAACGAAGTTATTTGAGACTCCTTGGTAAGTTGGAGGAGTATAGCACTAATATCTGAGCTAGGAAGACATAATGGTACAAATGCTTCACTATTTTATAAGACTCCCACCTGCTCTGAAAAACCTGTCCATGTGGAGTAGCCACATTAGAGGTTTACTCCTCCTACTATGGCATTGTGAGGAAAGTAAAGAAAAGAGAAGATCAGGACCAGCAGTTGGCGTAATGGCTATGTCGCTGGACTGTGGTCCGTGTCCCGGACCTGGTGGCTTAAACTCACGCTGGGCATGTACGTGCCCAAGATCCCAAGAGGAGAACGGAGGAGAAGGGATTGTGGCATGGCCATCCCCCCAGGGGGTGGTTTCTAGCTTTCTGTCTCTTTGTCTCTCTCTGTCTTTCTGGTGAGTGCACGTGCCCTATAGCAGAAACTTCTCCAAAACAAAGAAAGGAAGGAAGGAAGGAAGGAAGGAAGGAAGGAAGGAAGGAAGGAAGGAAGGAAGGAGACCCTGTGTATAAAATTTAGTTGGTTATCTTGGAAAATATTTTTCAAAAAGAGCCATGAAAATTGATCACGTTATTCGAAACACAGAGAAAAAGTGTAATTAGTCACTTATGCAGTTATTCAACTTGTTTTTCATTGGAAAGTATATAGACTAATTTTCAAATTAGGAAAGTTCAAAAATTAAAATTGCAATTTAGACATTTTTCAGCCTGCTTGTTATTTGCAAAGGCTGCATGACTCAGAACATTGTCATATTAGTCCTTTCGTGATGTGGGTTTATATACAGACGTGAGTATGTAAAATTTTTTAGGAAGTTTGTCTGCTGATAAATATATAATAAAGTCATCTTTTGATGTGTCATCATTTCTGTTGATAGTTATACAGGGAGTCTAGCCTCGAGAGTGCAGTTTTCACTACCCGAATGTGAGTTTCCAAAGAACACTTCCAGTTGTAAAACTAGAAATCAGCCATTTGACTAATTCGAGCTGTGGGTAATACCTGTTCATTCAGTGTTTCCGGGCCTACACTATAACAATAGGACCAGAGTTCTTTCTGGATCTTTGTGGAGAGTCACAGCCAGCTCCTGTCTTTGGCAGTGCCTGGCCCCTTCCAGTGCCTCACTGCTCCAGCCTGATGGCTGCCCTGCCCACGTGCCTCCGCCTGCAGTCACATCCCCATGCTGGTGCCCGTGCCAGTCACGGGATGGGATGAGAAACACGAAGCAGGCTCAGTTCCATCATACAGTAATGGGATTCAATCCCTCAGCCAGGTAAGAGAGCAACAGACTCTCTGTAACAGCTCCCACTGAGGTCCTCAAACGAACGGACAGGGACGGACACACACACACACACACACACTGGGGATCTGGACTCAGCCAGCTCTGAGTCCCCATGGAGCTCCCAGATTCCAAACAAACAGAATGGACACCTATCTGAGCTCTTCCTTCTCAGACTTGACTATTCTCCTGCCAAGGGCTCTGGTCCTCTAGGAGGGGCTGAGTGTCCCATTTTGAACCAGGTCCACCTCCCCTTTGGGGAACTAACAGTGGTTTTGCCACATACCCTCAACAGGAAGCCACCCAATACCTCAATCTGACCCCTGCACTTGGACTCCTCCCCTCACATCTTCAGACAGTCCTTCCATTGTCAAGAGCTGCCTCCCAGTGCCCTGCCCCCAGCCCAGCGCAGGCTCTCTCCGGCCACTGATGCCACTTCTTTTAACACCGATCCATATGACTTTGTACCTAGGTCATGAACTTTGACAATCATACCTGCTGACTCCTCAGATCACTTTAATTATTCTATATAGGCTCATATACCTTTGGTCTATAACAGTATAAAGAAACCAATCTTTATCTGAACTATAATCAGTAATGTTCAGAATCCAGCATGGCCTAGAATGAATGCTAACTACTGAGAAACTACAGATTCTCTTCTGTACTTTTTTCTTTCTTTTTTTTAGTATCACAAATGTTATTTACTTATTTTAAATATTCTGAATCTGTCAGTCACTATACAACCAAATATTAGCATAAGGAATAGCATTGCCACTTATTTCCTGTGTGACCTTGAGCAAATTACTTAACTCTGTGGAGTACCCATTTCCTCATCAGTAGAGTGAGGATAACAATGCCTTCCTGAG